GCAGAGATCAGTAGGATTGTGGTTAAAAGCCAGCCCCAGGCAAGTAATTCTGGAGACCCTATCTTGAAAAAAAAAACCCATCACAAAAAAGGGCTGGGGGGGATGGCTCCAGTGGTAGAATGCCTGCCTAGCAAGAGTGAGGTCCTGAGTTCAAACCCTAATGCCACAAAGGAAGATAGTGTGTGTTCCCAAGTATTTCTGGCCGGTGGATTTCCTTCTGGTGTGACTTTTCGAAACCAGCCTCTTAAAAAATGAAATCTCCAAGATCTTTGTCAGAAATCACCAAGATCATTGCTTCAGAATTAAGTGCTGGGCTTCACTAACTGTGTTGTTTTTCCATCCTAAATTATAAAAGTTGTTGAAAGAATAAGAACTTGATAGAATTTCTCATATAACAGGAATAGGAGACAATATAGAACCAGCTTGTGTTTCTCACCTCAAAAATACTGGGATGGGGCTTATTTTAGGATTTTGGCACTTTTGAACAGGCCTGCAGCCTCCAAACCACAGGCCCTTTTTCCTAAGGGTGAGGGACAGGGTGGGCTTGGGAGGAAGCTGGGATTCAGTTTCCTGCAATCTCATTCCAGAACAGCTCCTATTAAGGATCTGTTTTTAAAAAAGTGGGACAGTGAGTTGATCTTGTTTGAATCTGCATTCTTTTATGACTGCATCTGCCATTGTCATTACAGAGGGCTCCCCAAAATGAAGGGTGAGTGTCATATTTCTGAACTATCATGGCAGTCTGATCCTCGGTATGCTCAAATCATCGCTCTCTTTCTGTCCTAACGCTGCCTAGATAACCTGGGAGAACAAGCATGGCGTTTAGATGAAGGGGCTTCTATCTCTGTTTCCCTGTAGGCGGTTAAGTGCTCTATCTACAGAGTTTGAGTGACAGGGGAGTCCCGAGAGCCATGACCCCCAGCCCTCCTCCCCTGCCTGGTCTCTCTCCTTCCCTCCTAGATGTTGTTATGCAGGCTACAAACTTGTCAACCTCCCAAACAGTGTCTCTGCATATCACATATTTGGGTTTATATTTTTAAGTAAGTGGAAAATACCTCCTTTTATTGCTGACACTGAGTACTTCGGGAAGCTTTTGCATCATATTCCCAACTCCCTCTTGGTGCTGTTATTGAGTGCTAGTCTCTGGAGTGATCATTGCTCTGAAGCATTTATTAACCACCTGCTGTGTGCAAGGCACCCAGGCAATTCACAGCAACCGCTGGCAACAATCAAAGTTTTTGCTCTGGAAGCTGCAGTAGACTGCTTGCTTAGCAGGCTGGAGGTTCAATCCCCAGCGTTGAAGGGGGGAAAAAAAGGCACCAGCAGTTCAGATGAGATGGTAAGACACACGTATGAAAAGATAAAAACGTGGATATGTGGATGTCAAACCAGATGGGCAATAAATAGTATGGGTGTGAAGCAACAAAAAAGATGCCAGAGATGCCTCTGGCTTCCCAACAAGGAGTGTAAAGAACTCCGCAGAAAAGAATAAAAGTTTGCCGATGGACACAGGTGACCTGAATGTGTATTCGTACCATGGTCCTGGGTAGGACCGGGCAGACTGAGGAAGAGACAAGGTGACACATGCCTCTAAGTTAACTTGTTATTTCAAAATATAATCAAAGACAAGAAACCAAGAGAAATAATCTGTAGTATAGGTGACAGTAGGTTAAGAACCATCAAAATTGACCAAGTTGGCAGTTCACAGAAAATAAGACCAATTGGCATGCAGAAATCCCCGGCCTCACTAGTTCTGAACTTGGGTGTGCAAATGGCAGCACACACCATTATCTACCCACTAGGTGGAGAAAGTGGAAGTGTTACGCTGAGGAAAAGGGCGTTCCCTGCAGGTGTTAATGGCCTGGTCGCTGCCTCCCTAGGACAGGTTTGGCCGTGCTAGGTGACAGTGTTCATGTTTATTGTACCAGTAGTTTTAAGGAATCTGGGCTATAGAAATTGTCATATGTGAACAAATGACATAAAAGTATAAAATGTTCATTGTACCTAAGTAAGTGCAAAACACCATCTATAGGTACAAAGATGTTTGTGCAAGATTTATAACAAAAATTGTAAACAACGCAAAGAACTGAGCTAGAGTGAGACATACTCATAGCAGGGAATGATGAATCTGAGACATAGCTTCAAAAAGCACGCTTAAAGCCACCATGAGCCATGCTTTGAGGGGTAAATGTATACAGTACCTATACACAAACACATAGAGAAGGGGCTTTTGAAAAGCTTGGGAAGTTACACTTGGAAGTGGCAGGGGTGTTGAAAAAGACCTAATCACTTTTGGGATGAGCAGTACTTAGGGGGCGGTACCGCTCTAGCCGTGCCTCCAGCCCTTTTTGCTTTAGCTGTGTTCCAGAAAGGGTCTCCAAGAATCCTACAGGCGTGCACCACCATGCCTGATCCTTTGTTGAGATGAGTCTCACTTTTTGCCCAGGCTAGTCTCAAAGCACAGTCCTTTCAGTCTCTACCTCCCTAGTAGTTGGGATGAGCTACTATGTCCCTGATCTAAAAATGCAACTTTTAACTACATCAGACTTTAAAGTAGCTACACTGAAGTATATAGTAGCTCAGCTTTGTGAGTAAAGACAGGAGAGATGTTAAGTTTAATGAGTGACTTCCATTTGACAAGTGATGCTACTTACTATGGATGTTTGGTGCACTTGGTACTAGGACATCAGTGTCTGAAGTGCTTACAGTGCATATTCTGTGAGTGCTTGTTACCTGAGAGCTTTGGTGTATGTTGTTCTAAAACCAGGTTGTTGGTGTTGGCTCGGGTGTGGCTCAGTGGTAGAGCACTTGCCTAGTATGCATGAGCCCTGGGTTCAATCCTGGCACAGCAAATCAATAAATTAAAATGGAGATAGGGCTAGAGGTAAGGCTCAAGTGGTAGAGCATTTGCCCAACAAGCAGTTACTAGCAAACACTCCACAGCATCCCCCGAGGTGATTCCTGGGCCCCTCACATCCTCAGCTGGGATTCCTGCCTTCCTGTGGAGACTGACATTTCTACAGTGCAAAGGGAAAGGCTGCTAATTGCCAATCAGGATCCAAGCCAGGGAGCACAGTGTAGAATCATGTAAGCATCTGGGGATTCCCAGCATGCTGGTCCCTGCCTGGATTCTGCACCATGGTGCCAGTGCTGTCTGTCCTCCTCTCTACCCTGTGCTCACCCAGGGAGCTCTCCATGCTCTAGCTGGTAGTGAATTGGGACAGAGCACATTAACTGTTCAGGCGAAAGACACAGCTGGACTTGGAAATGCTTTAGAAGTGTATTCCCCAAATACCACACAATGAAAATTTGCCCAGTGACACGAAAAGGTGACTGCCTTTTTCTTTTCTCCATGTGTCCATTCATTCAGCAAGTATCTTGTGGAGCCTGCTGTGTGTCAGGCCCAGGGTCCCACATAAGGAATACAAAACGGAATAAGGCACGACCCCTGCCTATCTCAGCTTTGTGGTGAGTGGAGGTTTGGGGAGAGAGGAGGCAGGAACCCAATCATAGTGTGTCTTTTTAAGTCTGTAAGAAAAACGAGGGCAGCAGCTGGATGAATCAACAGCACAAGGGAGGATGTCCCAGAGGAGGTGACAGGTGAGGTGAATCTCAAAGAGGAGTGATTAGAGCTATATTATTGTCCTTGGTGTTTAGTACAGGAATGCTGAAAATGAGGACAGAAGTACTCTGCCTGGTTTCCAAAGCTGCTTTAGAATAAACCCTTTTTATAATTTTTCTTTCCTTTTTTTTTTTTTTTGGTAGTACTGGGATTTGAACTCAGGACTACACACTTGCTAAACAGGCAAATGCTACCACTTGAGCTGTACCTCCAACCTCCCCTCCTCCTTTTTTTTTTTTTTTTTAAAGAATCAACCCTTTATGGAAAAATTTGCCCATCTGTATCCTGTAAGGTTTTTGGTAGAAGTGGGATTTGAACTCAATGCTTCACACTTGCAAGGCAGGCACTCTACCACTTGAGCCACACGTCCAGTCCATTTTGCTATGGTTTTCTTGGAGAGGGAGTTTCACAAACTATTTGCCTGGACTGGCCTTGAACTGCATTCCTTCCAGTCTTAGACCCCACAGTAACTAAGAGTATAGGTGCTCAGCTTGTATCCTATAAGTTTGAAACATTAGGTGGAACCGTACAGCAAGCAGACTGGAAACTTATCTTTGAAGGCTTCAACAAACATCCAGTGTGAGTTGTCTGCTTCCAGTTTCTTTCCCCATCTCGGGTCTAGTTTTTACCATCAGCTTCATGGCTTCTCCTTTGAACACCGATCTCTCGTGGAAAAAAGTCCTCGTTGCTGAGGAAAAGACTTAACAGCACATGTGCTGCCTGAATCTCTTCCTTTGGCTCTTGAAATTGGTTTCTGTTGATGGGTTTGGAAAGAGTCAACTTTTCTTGGTTTCTCTTTAGATGTTACTGTGAATAAGCTGGAACTGTAATTACTCATACTTAGAAAATAACATTCTTGCATCCAGGTTCTTAGTTTCAGCAAACTATGAAGTGTCATTGAAAAACAATGTGATTTATTTTATGTCCCGGGGTGTTATGAATGTCACTTGGTTGTAGTGACTCTTCTGTTAAATACATGCTTACTAAAATGCATAATGGTGCTGGGCATGGTGGTGCACACCTTGATCTCAGCACCCAGGAGGCTGAGGCAGGAGGATATAAAGTTCAAGACCAGCCTGAGAGAGAGAGAGAGAGAGAGAGAGAGAGAGAGATCCTGCCTCAAAACAAAAACCAAAATGATGTATGATGAATCTAAAAGATGGAGTTTAATTTTTTTTTATTTGTAACTTTGTTGTTGTTGTTTGCTATAGTGGGGTTTGAACTCAGGGCCTCTTGCTTGCTAGACAGGCGCTCTGCCATTTGAGCCACTCCACCAGCCCTTTGTTTTTGTTATTCTTTTGGATAGGGTCTCGTTTTTGCCCAGGGCCAGCCTAGGACACAGCCCTCCTACCTGTGCTTCCTCCATTGCTGGAGTCACAGGTGCATGCCACCACACCCAGCTTGTTGGTTGAGATGGGAGTCTTTCAAACTTTTTTGTCGAGGCTCACCTCAAACTTTGATCCTCCTCATCTCCACCTCCTACCAAGTAGGTGTGCACTGTTGTGTCATTATTCCAGGGGACGAGAGGCTCCTGCTTGGAGACCTAAACCAGTCTCCTCAGCTGATTCCTTGTCCCCTTAATCAGAGTAGCTTCCAACTCCACCCTCCAAAGATTTGTCACCATGGAGAAACTGGGTTTGGGCTCTGGTTTGTTGTGATGGCACTGGGGATTGAACCCACGGCCTCAGCATGCTAGGCAAGCATGCTTCTACTGCGTCATATGCCCCTAGCCATGGAGACCGTATTTTAAAATGGAAAGATCCAGAGGTAAAGACAGTTACAATGCTAATAATAGCCCAGCTGTTGAAAGAAATGTACTCCTGCCTGAGGTGACAGAATGAGAAGCGCAGTGCTCCTTGGAGGACACCCGTCCTGGTGTGCTGGTGGTACAATGAAGTCACTTTCCTAGACTCACCTATCACAGGAAGACAAAAGCTGGCAGGGCCTTCAAGAGTAGTGCACACTGGGATGCTAAAGGAAAGAAAAACTGGAAGTACTCTTGGTTACTCACAGTTGTCCTAGACCCGGGCCTCCGACGCCAGCCCTTGCCCCACACACACTTCCCGTGTCGCTCTCCAGGACTTTTCTCATGCTTTCTTTCTGTTTGTTCAGGTATTTCCGGGAAAAGCCAGCTTCTGTTTGCACTGGTATTCACAACTCGCTACCTGGATCTTTTTACTTCATTTATTTCATTGTATAACACGTCTATGAAGGTATGGTATGGTATCTGACAGAGTGCATTTTATCCATAATGCACAGACCTGTGGGACATTGTTCCTTTATGTCATCTGTGTCTTGGTTAAAAATCATATCTAAAGACGCTGGCTTTGTTTTGTTTTGGTTTGTTTGGTTGTTTGTTTGTGGTATTGGGGTTTGACTCAGGGCCTCACGCTCACTAGGCAGGCGCTCTGCCACTTGAGCCACTCCGCCAGGCCTAAATGTGTTGTTCCTGTCTTTAAAACTTTCGCCACCTTGACAGCCTTGTATATGTGACTGCGAATAATTGTTTTGTTCCAAAACAGCATCTGTTTAATTGGAGCCCTGGGCCCTAGAGGCTTTAAAATGTAAGTTCCTCAAGCATGAGGAAGCTTCCAAAGCTCTTGCTAGCCCTGCCTGCTCTGTTGTCAAGCAGTGGGAATTACTGATTGCCCCAAGAAGTCAGAACACAAGCAGGAGTCCAGCTAGGAGAACTTACTGGTCACAGCGTCTCGTGTCACCACCCTGTGAGGCACCGTGTGGAGGCTGCTGCTTGTTTGCTTCTCTCCACTGAGTCCATTTTTCTTAGACTTCTGCTGCACTTAAACAGCACCTGTACCAAAAATTACTTTTTTATACATAGATATTGCTGCTGCTGCTGCTGGTGGTACTGGGATTTGAACTCAGAGGTTTACACTTGCTAGGCAGGCATTCTACACAGCCCTTTTTGGAGATAGTCTGGTTATTTTGCAGATAGATTATTGGTTTTGCCTAGGCTGGCCTGGACCGTAATCTGTCTATTTTATGCTTTCTGCCATAGCTGGGATGAGATGTGTGTGCCACCACACACAGCTTTTTCCATTGAGATGGGGGTCTCAATAACTTTTGCCCAAGTTGGCCTGAACTGTGATCCTCCCAGTCTCAGCCTCCCAAGTAGCTAGGATTGCAGGTGTAAGCCACTGGCACCAGGCTCAGAAGCATTTTTATGAGCAGAGATTAAAGTAGATAAAGCAGTATTTGGATCTGTCGTCTTTACCAAATAGCAAATTTGAGCCAGGCACTGGTGTCCATGCCTGCAATCCTACCTACTTACGAGGCTGACATGGGAGGATCGTGGTTCAAAGGCAGCCCGGCAAACAGTTTGCAAGACCCCATCTCAAACATAACCGGAGCAAAAATGAACTGGAGGCATGCCTTAGCTCTAGAGTGCCTACTTTCTAAGGGTGAAGCTCTGAGTTCAAACTCTGGTCCCACCAAAAAGAAAAAAAATTGCAGTCACCTGTCATGGCTCCATTATTTATTACCAAGTGATAGGAGTCTAATTACTTGTCTTCAAAATGACTAGGTTTCTGCTCGTTGTCTAGCCAGTTTAAACTGCAGGCAATAGAGGTGTATGAGCCAAAGCCCCCCACTTCAGGCAGAAATCCTGCTTGCGTGGTGGGAGGTTATTTTTTATTCGGATTTTTGGTTTGTTTTGGCAGTACTAGTGTTTGAACTTGGGGCCTTGTATTTCCTAGGTAAACACTCTACCAACACTTTGTGCTGTGGTCTGTTTTGCAGGTAGGGCCTCACACTTTTTGCCCCCTACCATCCTTCTCCTACCTCTGCCTTCTGCCTAGCTTGGATTATAGACATATACCACTATGCCCAGCTTGTTTTGTGACATGGGATCTTGCTAACTTTTTTGTTGGGGTTGGCCTCAAACCATGATCCTCTGATTTCCCCATTGCCCATGTAGCTGGGATTACAGACATATGCCACCACGCCCACCTGCTTGGTTGTGGTTTCTAAGCATCATGTCCTGAAAGTCGGTGGAGTGAGAGCCAAGCTATATGTACTTGCCTTTAACTGCTGTGTGCTGGCGACAGGAGAGCTCTTCTTTCCCAGCAGCTGCTGAGGCCCGATAGGCTAAAGCTCCATGGGCACAGGCCACCATTCTTGAAGCACTCAGCTAAGTTCTGTTCATTTTAAAAGTGTTTTTATTGTTGTGTTGTATCAATGAAGTAATCAGTAATGGCATTTGGCTTGAATCTTCCCTTCATTCATTCACTCACTTGTTCCCTCATTCATTCATTCATTCAAGAAAACCTTTGGCCCAGCAACCTCTGCACCAGGGCACATGGGTGGATGGAAAGAGAGGTCTGAGAAAAGGTGGTGGAATTAACACATCTCATGAGCCAAATTCTCCATCAACCACTTGATTGGGCAGGGATAAATGGAGAAATGGACAGGGTTAGGCCACACCCATGGGTCATTACTCTGTAGTGGGGACACAGGTGTGCACACAGCCCAAGTAGAGCAAAGGGAGTGAGGAGGGAGATGGGGAGCCATGATGCCAGCTGCAGGGCATGATAGTGGCAGGGGACAGCCTCAGGATCTCCAGATGGGCTTTTCTCCATCATCACAGTGTGAGAGGCCCCTTGGGAGACCTCTGTCCCACAGTGGGCTCTACAGTCCTCTTTGTACAGAGCAGGGGTGATGTGTCCCTGGGCTGAGAGGGTCAGCCTGCTCTTCTTCCTGGCACTTGACTGCAGGTGCAGGTGCTCCCTGGCTGTCCCTCTGACGAGGGCTCTGATTTCTTTCCCCAGATATCTGGCCAATGACATGGAAGAGGACAACCAGGCTCCTAAGCAAGACATATTTTACTTTCTTTACGGAAAGAACTACTTCCAGCACCCTCTGTTCCACAAGTTACGGTACCAGATGATGCGATCCATGGGCTGGAGGATGCGGGTGTCCCGAGAGGAGTGTGAAGAGGTGAGGGTCCGGGCTGCGAAGGACTTGGGGGGAAGGCTCTGGATTGGAGAGCGAAGGAAGGAATGGGTTTGGGAACTAGAAAGAAGTGGAGGCCGGACATGGGGAGAGGTCTCCCTGGGGAGCAGCACTGTTCATGAAGCTGTTTTTCTTTCCAGATCCAGGCCTATAACCCGGACCTCTGGGTGTGGGGGCGAGACCGCACCCACCTGCCTTAGAACTCTGTTCCATCATCGGCTTCAGTAAAGGTGTGTCTGTGTCCTTGTAGTGTGCCCAGGGCGATTTGATGTCTGCTTAGGAAATCCTGAAACCCCCTTGCCTGACCACTCCGTGCCACACCTGGTGCCACACCATAAAGCAGCCCAACCATCCCAGGCTGTAAGACACTCCCGGTCACTGCACAGCCATAGAAATGACAACCAGAGAGAAGTGACCCTGAGAGACGTGCTGGGGGCCAGGGGCCGGCCATATAGCCAGGCCTCAGAGACACCCAAGTGTCGCTAGGGCTCGGATGAGGTAGAAATCCTTTAACCCAAAGCCATTGGGTCCGAATGGCAGCTGTGAGCAAGTGCTGATTTCTGTCAGCCGCGAGTATCCGCTAGCTGTAACCTCCATATGCCCATCATCCGAGCTTTTGCCGTCACTTCTTAATTCAGTCTTGACCTAGGGTCCCATGCGGTACCAACTCTGGGGACTCACTGATAACACAGTGATGTGGGAAGTAAAAATAGGAGGGTCAGGATCTAGGCAGGCATGGGTACAAAACAAGACCCCATAGGAAAATAACTAAAGCAAAATAGGACTGCAGCTATGGCTCAAGTATAGTAGAGCACCTGTCCAGCAAGTCAAGGCCCTGAGTTCAAACCCAAGTGCCATAAGAAAAAAGAAAGAAAGGGAAGGAGGGAAGGAAGGAAGGAAGGAAGAATGGAGAAATGGAGGGAAGGAAGGAAGGAAGAATGGAGGAATGGAGGGAAGGAAGGAAGAAAGAATGGAGGAATGGAGGGAAGGACGGAAGGAGGGAAGGAAGGAAAATGGGAGGAAGGAAGGGGGAGGACAGAGGGAGGGAGGGAGAAAGGAAGGACGGAAGGAAGGAAGGAAGAAGAAAATGTGGGAGGTCTGAATATTATCAATGACAGATGGCCACTAACTAGTTTAGTCCTAATTTGACTTGAAACAAATTTCCTATGGCCAGAATTCTCTTTGAAATTTCTTGTTCTCCTTACCCTACCACTGTTGGACCAAGTTCCCCTCTTCTCCCTTTCCCCTCAAGTTTATGGTCAAGAACGTTGGTCGGAACTGTGCGCAGCTTGCGGTGGCTGCACACAAGCCACACCTTAACAGTGATGGATGTGAGCAGAGCATTGAGCAAAGGTTTGATTTTTGTAGAGCACAGCTAGCCCAGTTCACGCGAGGATGAAACATCGGGAGTTTGGTTTGGGATTCGGGTTCTGGTGTCCTGGTTCATGACATCCTGACGTCAGGAATGCTGTCGCACGGTTAGAGGTTCACATTTTCAGTAAGTGGAGAGGACCACGGTCTGAGTTTAGTCCACAGTCGCATTGTGAGTTCACACCTAGGGAACTGTGTCTGACATCGCTTTTTTCTTCCTTCCTTGAGCAGAATCACCTCATGTTCTGCTCTACAGAAGACTGTTGGGCCTGACCTCAGGGCTTAAGTGATTGTTGGAGTCATGGAAAGAAAAGCCCAAGAGTCATCACAATTCTTGGTGATGCTTCAGAGCTGGGCATGGTTGTGTATACCTGTAATCCAGCTAACTGGGAGATAGAGACAGGACGTCAGGAGTCGGAGGCCAGCTTAGGCAAAGCTAAGGAGAACCTAGCTTAAAGCAATAAAATAAAGGGCTGGAGTCATAGCTCAAGGGATAGAGTACCTCCCTGGCAAGCACGAAGCCTGCTTTCAATCCCCAAGACTGGATGAAGGGCTAGAGGTGAATTAGGATCTGTAAGTGGTTCCAAACCCTTGTTGGGACTGACTTAGCCTGTCGATCACCTTCCTCCTGGAGCATTGCCTCTTGACATCATTTCTCTCTGCCTTCCAGATCGCTGTGCCCAGGGAGATGGGAATGTTCATCAGGAAGTCTAAACCAACACTGAAGCCAGCTGGAGCAAGGAAGAGCGAGGAGTTTCCCAAACCTAGAAGAACCCAGATTCTTCCAGAACAAGCCTAATAAAACTACCCCACTCCTCGGTGTGGGGGCACACCTGGGAGTCCATGAAGGAATGAAGGGAAATCAGGCCTTGCTGGGTCCCTTCTTTCCTGAGGCACCTGTAGTCTCACCAAAATTCACGTTGCGGTCATATGCTCACGTATATTTGGTTTGCCAGATTTGATGACTGTTTTTAATATGTAAACTTAGACACGTGGGATCATAATAGAGTTAGTGTAAATATAGTTAATATAAATCATAAGTTATATTGAATTATTTTGAATAAGTTGGTCATAAAATGTTTACTATATTTATTTGCAATGTTTTGAGATGGTTGTAGATTTGAAAACATGCTGTTCTTTATATTTTCATTATTCAGATTATAACTTACACATTCATAAATGTTTTTACTCTTACAATAAGTTCTTTTTATCCATTCTACTTATATATTATAGCTATGTAAGAATACTCAAATTGTTGGGAATATACATTTTTATTTGATGTTTTAGCCTTTGTTGTTGAACTGTGAACATCGACTTGCACTGACAGGTTGGTTTGCCATTTTATAAAGGGTATGTGTTTTGTAAGAGCGCCCATGTTTTGTGTGTTCAAAGAGGACAGGGCCACTCTTCCCTTGGGGAAATACAATAAAGATGAAATGTCCTTTAATCTTCACGAAGCGTGTGTGGTTTTTTCCTTTGTCAAATATTACTGTTGTGTGCATCAGTTATGCATGTTTGACCAAGGTCTTAGCTCTGAAAAAGAATCCTGGATGATTTTTCATGTGTGAAAAATAGAAGACGCCGCAGATCCTAAGCTGGAATTGGATGCCAGACACGAGGGGAAGCTGTTGAGGGGAACATCAGGAAGAGTAGAAAGAATGCGGAAACTTCCATGGGTGCCTGGAAAAGAATCCCAACTCAGATATAAAGGAACGGTGGACCCCAGAGAGGCCTCCCTGGAAATGGTCCCGGGAGAGGGATGACACAGCGAAAGGTGCACTTGCTCTTTGAGTCATCCTGGGGCACTTTTATCACCACCTCTGGTCCAGTCTTACAAAAGCCAAGGAGAATGGAGAGGGGAGATGAAATAGAAAGAGCTGGAAATAAAGGAGGGTGTAGAATGGAGCCGTTTGTGAGGAAATAAGTTGCAGGAAGAGGTAAGGCTGTTCCAGAGATGAGCACAGAGAGGTTGAGTGACTGCAGAAAAACATGGTGGGAAATGGGGGTGTGGCACAACACAGGAGCAGGTGGGGAAGAAGCAGCTGGACGCCATGTGTCAGCCAGAAGCAAATAAAACCCAAGAGGCAGACAACAGGGTGACAATATTCTGAGGCAAGAGAGCCATCGATGAGATGCGAATGGGCTTCTAGACAAAGGGGGGCACAGCGTAAAGGGTGGAGGGCTGAACCAGATGAGCTTAGACGAGGCTGCATGTTTTCTCCTACATGGAAGACAGATCCAAAGATAGACACACACACAGAACAAGCGTGATCGCACACACGCTCAGATGTAGAACACATTTGTAAACGTGGAGCTGCTCTAGGGCCTCGGGGGAGGAGGGAGAGGAGGAGAGAAGGCTGGAGCGTCAGTAATGTCGTAAAACATATGCCTGTGAAGGAAGAGGACACAGGGTGTGCACTGAACGCTGCCGAAAATGGGGGTGGGAGGTAAAGGGGTAAGGGGAAGAAATGGGAGGGGTTGAACAAACCAAAGTAAAGTTTACCCACAGTGGGGTTTGAACATGAACTTAAATATTCACAATGAAAGACAGGACTGTAAAATGTGTACAGCGTGTGGGGTGCTAGTGGGAGAGGAGCTGAATGAGGGAGATGAAGGGGAGGGAATATGGAGGATGGACTTCACATATGCTATGAACTAGAGCAAAAAAATCTCTTGCGATTGCTGTAAGTGGGGTGGGGAGGGGTCGAGGGAGAGATGGTGGGTGTCTAATCTATGTGCAATACAAGCCCATCTGGAATTGTCACAATGCAGCCCCTCTACAATGAACAGATCCTAATTTTGAAAAGAGTAATGGATGCTGGCCAGGCACGGCGGCACAGGCTTATGATCCCAGCTACGTCGGAGGCATAGGTAGGAGGATGACTATCTGAAGCCGGCCCAGGCAAAAAGTTTGTGAGACCCTATCTCAATACTGAAGCCAGGTATAATGATGCATGCCTATCATCCCAGTATCTGGGAGGTGTAGATAAGAGGAACTTGGTTGAAACAGCTCTGGGCAAAAATATGAGACCTTATCTGAAAAATAACTAAAGCAAAAATGGGCTGGGAGTATGTCTCAAGTGGTAAGGCCCTGAGTTCAAATTCCAACACCATTTAAAAAAAAAAAGCTCACAAAGCCTACTGTAAACACATACTGCATCCAAACTGCAGGGAGAGACGAAGAAAGTAGTTTGTTTCAAAGTACTCGATATTTTCAGTGTCTAACTTTGCATCACCCTGACAGAAGCTCACTTTACACATCTATTTCTCAGTGGTCACGCACTGTGACTCTTTTTCATTTATAGGAAAAAGGAAGGAATGTCAGGACCCCTGGCCCACTGCTGAAACGCACAAGTACACACTGTGTGCAAATATTTATACAAGCGGCAAGACCTTAGCATATAAATCATTTTGTTTTACAATGTCCTATTGCCAGTGAGCGCCCCCAAATATTAAGACTGGTGTATGGATCCAGCCTGACACAACTGCAGCCATCTTTCTTGAAACGGCCGTGATCACCCCTGAGAAACTGAGGCTGGTTTTTCCTGGGGAGTTTCCCAGCAAACCGTGAGGACCCTGGCACCAGGGCTGTGCCTTATTCTTCCAGATTATCATAAGATAAGCCTGGTCCGTTTCAGCCATGATGAAATCACTTTTGTTCTGACTCATAAATACACCCTTTTCTGACCCAAATTGAGGGGATCCAATGGTCTTGCTGGTTCCCAGCACCATGCTTCCACAGAAAGTTCCCAATAACTCGAGAGGCAGAGACAGCAGGGTGGAGGTTCAAGGCCAACCTAGGACTTTATCTCAAACACACCCTGGGTGTGATGACCCTCCCATCTACTCAGGAGGTGGAGGCAGGAAGATCTGGGTCCAAGGCATACAAGTTCAAGTCCGTGAGTTCAATCCCCAGTACCACTCCCCCAAAAAAGTCCCCCAGTGAATTTCACTGTGTGATCCATCCTGGGTCTGCCTGCCTCTTCCTTTGGTCTCACAGTACCTTGGGACAGGCTCTTGCACACTAGGACCAGGTTGTGGGTTGTTCTGAAAAATTGGTCTCAGATTTTTACACTTACCTATTGGTAGACTTGTTTGAAACGCACAATACTTGCAGAGAACACATGACTTAGTTGTCAAAAACCATCCAAGGGTCCCAAAAATAGGAATAAGATTTTACACCTGTGTGAAGAACATAGAGTCGATGCGGACTTGGCTGTGGTGGTACAGTTTGTGAGACCCTATCTCAACACAGAAGCCAGGTGTGCTGATGCATATCTATGCTTCCAGTACCTGGGAGTGTGGATAAGAGGATCTCGGTTGAAACAGCACTGGGCAAACATTTGAGATCCTATCTGAAAAATATCTAAAATATCTGAAAAATAAGTAAAGCAAAAAAGGGTTGGGAGTGTCTCAAGTGGTGAGCAGGTGGCCCTGAGTTCAAACCTCAACACTGTTCAAAGCCTTCTGTTTACACATACTGCATCCAAAAAGGGATGCCTAGCAAGTGCAATACCCCGAGTGCAAACCCCAGCACTGCCAAAATGTCTTTCCACTTCACACTCTCGAGGCTATCTGCTTCCAGTCTACTGAAAGTATATTTTTTTTCCTAATAAATTTTACTATTACTGTCACTTAAAAATAGTATGGAGTCATTTCTTATTTGCTCAAGAAATTTATCCCGAACCTTTGAATGGCCTTTCCTTATGCTGAGTATGGGTTGATATTTCTGAAAAATCTTTGTAACGGACACTAACAAGTCTAACCCAGGAGGATAATTTCTGAGTCATAAAGGAGGTCGTGGTGTGCGACATGGTTTAATTCTGTCAGTTCCTCCTAAGGAGTGGTGAAAACTCCATCCTGGGAAGTGATCAGGCTCAGAGTTTCTGCTTCCGCCAAGTAAAAAGGCCAAGTAAAAAGCCACGCGCTGGACCAGGGGTGTGGCTCAAGTGACTGAGTGCTTCCAGAAGGTGAGGCTGTGCATTCAATCCCCGGTACTGCCATTTCCCCCAACCCCCCAGTGAAAACCACAGGCCATCCTCAATCTCTCTCTCTCCCACTCTCTCTCTCTTCTGTTTTGCTATATAGCCCAGACTGGCCTTGAACTTGCAATCTTCCTGCCCTTGAATCCTGAGTTCTGGGATTACAGGTGTGCACCTCATCCCCGCCCCCAACCTTTTGTTTTTTCTTTTTAAAAGGATCCTAGTCATTGAATCAGGGCCCACTCCGACTTAGAACGACCTCATCTTAAATAATTCCATCTGCAAGACCCTATTTCCAAAGGTCACAGTTGCAAGTCCCAACGCATTTGTCAGGGGCAGGCTACACACGTCTCTCTGCCTTCCCTGGGAGTGAAATCACGTGCACAGCCAGGGGACCAAACACTGCTCCTCCACTGTGGCTTCTTCTGCTACCCAGAGTTTCTGGATCTCCAGCCAAGAGGAAATAGGAATTGATGTGCATTTCTGCCTAAAATCATAGGAAGGCAAGTGGGGGAGGTCCCATGCAGATCCACGGCCGTGGAGAGCCCACCCTCCATGCACCTGAAAATGTCCAAATCAGGTCTAGGAGAGCACTGGATGACCAGGCTGTCCAGCAGGATGGATGGAAAAGGGGGGTGGGGAATGGGGTGGGAACTGCTTTTTCCTGCACTCCCTTTGCTGTGTTACCTGGGATTTTTTTTCTGCCCTCTCTGGGCCTATTTTCTGTCGTGTGAATCAAGTGTGTAGACACTTCACTTGTGAGTATTCACCAGTGAGTCTTTTGCCTGGCCCCATGCCCGTACTCAGTAGGCGCTCACTAGCTACTTGCTGAGTGGAGGATGGGGTGGGTGCCAACCAAGCTGCTCAGTGGGACACATCTGTCAGGCCATTTTCAAAGGGTGAAAGGACCCAGGTCAGCTGTCCTGAGCAGGAGCTGGAGATGGTGTTGAGGTGGGGATGAGAGACTGGAGGAGGAGGGTGAGAGACTGCAGGGGGAGGGGGAGAGACGGGAGGGGAGGGGTGAGAGACTGGAGGGGGAGGATGAGAGACTGGAGGGGGGAATGAGAGACTGGAGGGGGAGGGGGAGAGACTGCAGGGGGAGGATGAGAGACTGGAGGGGGAGGGGGAGAGACTGCAGGGGGAGGATGAGAGACTGGAGGGGGAGGGGGAGAGACTGGAGCGGGAGGGGGAGAGACTGGAATAGGGGAGAGACTGGAGGGGGAGCGCGGGCTGTCCTGGACATGGAGCCCCGGGAAGCTACAGCCCACACTGTGCAAACGCAGTGATTCTGTCCCTGCCTCTGACAGGGCATTTGTGTGTCAACAGGTTCCAGAGGTTTGAGCACTAAGGTGGGAGTGAGAACAAAGCCCCCTCCAGGCCCGGGATCAGCAGGGGTAGGCTTTGCAAAAAAGCCTTCCTTGGGCTGATGTGAGCAGGGACACTGAGGACCCCATCCGTCACCTTCCCGTCCCTGATACAGGACAGAGGGCCACAGTGCCTCTGACAATGTCAAGGTCCCAGACAAGATGCCTGAGCCCAACCCCCAATACAGAAGGAGCCTCGGTTTGTTTCTTAATGAACTACATCCCCCCCTTATCTCCAGGCCACCCAAACTCTGGCTGTACAAGGAGTGGCTGCCCAGGGTGAGGACGCCAGCCTTGTCCCAAGCAGCACCTAGGCAGGCAGGGAAGGGTTGCTTCCCTCAGTCATTTCCCGAAGACATCCTGGGAGCCCTGGCACCTGGTCCTGACCCTGCTGACACCTGTGCCTTGCTCAACACCTCCTTCCCACTGTCCCAGCCAGTCCCCATGGGTGGCCCAGGGCACTGAGCTCAGGGTCTGCAGATTGTGACCCCTGCTGCAGGGTCTGCTCCACCTGGGTGTCTGCACTGCCAACCTGGCCAAGAGGAAGAACAGTCACCTTCTGACACCTCAGTGAATTTGAGGGGCAGAAGAGGAGGCCAGGGCTGGTCGCCAGTGGGGAGAGGTGGGCAGCCTCACCTAGCATTGATGTTTTCTGCAGGACATAGCATCCCTACTTCATCTGAGCCACAGGAACTTGGAGACTGGGCCAGGGATGACCGAAGACAAGGGGAAGGACACCAAGCATTCAAATTCTGGCCACACAGGGACAGTGATGGTGGTGGGGTCACTCAGGTATGACCATTCACCTGCCCAACCCTCCGCACCTAGGCTTCCAGAAAGACCCACTGGGCCAGCACTACTCCAGAGCAGGACGCTGTGGGAGTTAGCGATCAGCTGGCTTGGTCTTTGCACCATACCTGGATAAAAAGCCTGAGTAGGTGAGGAGACGCTCTTCCAGGGCT